GATCAGCCCTTTGCGCTCCTGCTGCCGCACGACCCGCACGATCTGGAGCTGCTCCACGTAGCGATCCAGCTCCTCCTTCAGGTACTCTGCGGGGCAAAGAGAAGCGGCGCTGTCGGAGGGGGGGATGCCAGTCCCTGCACCCACCAGCCCACCCCGCTGCCTCCACCCCATCCCCGCACATGGGCTCAGAGCCCGGGACACACGGAGCCTCCTTTCCCCCACATCTTTGGCTAAAGAAAGTGAGTTTTGCAAAGGAGCCACTGGCTAATCCCGCATTAGAGAGGGATTAGGGGAACAATGGGGTGAGAAGGTCTGCTCTGCACTGAAGTGTCACTGGAGGAAACCGGGATTTCTCTGGCAGTGTTCAAGGCCAGGTTGGACACAGGGGCTTGGAGCAACCTGCTCTAGTGGAAGGTGTCCCTGCCCGGGGCAGGGGTTGGAGCTGGAGGAGCTTTAAGCTCCCTTCAACCCAAACCAGTCTCTGATTCTGATTCTCTCCTTTGGCAGATGCAGCCAAGCCAAAAGCTGGGAAGTGCCAAGTGAGAGCCAGGATGTCCAGAGACCCGTCCTAGGAGGGGACCCCAAGTCTGACCCCCATCCCCACCACCGCGGGAGCCAGGCCTGTGGGTGAGAAAGCCCCACAGCGCCCCGAGGGCTCTGCTCCTTGGGAGCCTGTGCAGACACTGCAGGCGGAAAGGGAACACTGGGAGAGGGAGCAAAGTCCGCTCCTCCCAGCGCCCTGCTGCTGAGCCACAGCATTAATCTGCTGTGGGTGTAGCTCAGGATGGGTGCAGCCCGCGGGCAAGCCGGATGACGAGGGATGTGCAGGATGCGGGAGGAGCAACCGGGTTTTCTCCAGGGCTGGGTTAACAGCAGCACTGGAGAAGGGAAAATCCCCAAGGGTGCTCCTGGGCAGATACAAAACAATGTGGAAGAACTGTTGGATGCATCCGCAGCTTCTCCTCCGCGTGGCTCAGAACCGCTGTTCCCGGGGCCTGGAAGATGCTCCGCATCCCCCTGCATCCCCCCAGCCCCTGCATCCACCATAGCTCCCACCCACCG